CGCCGATCCCGGGCAGTCAGATGGTGGCGAGGGGTGGGGGTAGGTGACCTTTTTTTCCAAAGAGACTGAGGGGCAGGATTGATGGCCCTGAGGCTCCCCACCGCCCATCACTCATGACTCAGTCCGTGGGGTACAGAGCGCTCCCCAACCTGCCTGTTCCCCCGTCCTGTTGTTCTAAGGACCAGCTGACCCCCACCCCGAGGCCATTCCCAGCCCCGAGTCGTGTGGCTGGCACGGTGAATTCCTCCAGCTTTCTCTGTGCAAGGCAGCCAGCCACCTCCTCCCCAGCCAGCCCTCCAGGAACAGCCCTGGGGGGCAATCCGTGTGCCCATGCTCTCCCTCGGTTGGCATTCTGCACCAATAGACCAAGACACTGCTAGTTTGTCTCTCCGTGCAAGGCTTTAGTGGCTGAAAGTGAGAGCCAGGAAACTGAGCCTCGGTCCCAGGAAGTTTCTGTCTGCATCTGCGCACTCAGCCCACAGGGAGAGCGAGGAATGTCTGCGTGGACGAGACCGCCCTCGGGTGGCCTGCCACCACTGGGTGTGTGGGGGCACGTTCTTCTGCCAGCCCTCAGCCTGCTCACGCCCAGGGCTCACCGCAGCTGGCGGCCACCGCTCCAGCCAGAAAACGCCTTGTCTAGCCGGCCCCTCCTCTCCTGGAGACAGGCCACCCTCTGCTCCGCACTGCAGGACAGGGGCCACCCACCCTCAGCAGGGGCCTAGGGACACCCTGCCTCTGGGACAGGAGGTAGAGGGGGGCTCACCACCCATCTGTCTCTCTGACATCTATGCCTGCGAGGTGAGCCGTGAGGTGAGCAGGTGTCAGATCTGGCTCTCCAGGCAGAGCCCCCCGCCCCCCGCCTCCCGCCTCCCACCTGTTCCACCCCACTTCCCACAGCCTCGCCCTCCCGCCCCCCGCGCCTTGTCATGTCCTGAAGCCCACCTCATTCAAGTCCAGCCTGTCTTTTCCCCTGGACACGGGTGTGACTCGGTCTCACGCCGTGAGGAGAGGAGCCACGCTGTCCTTGATAAACCCCGGGTGGCTGACAGTCACTCGGTGAGTGACAGTGTGGGTTTTCCACAATATTTATCTTTTCCACCCAGACCACAGAGGTTGCAGTTTGGGCATCAAATCCTTGGAATCCTGCCCACCATCGGGGACCATCTGGCCTTTCAGCTGGAAAAGAGACAGCACAGGCCCACTGTCTTGGCCAATGAGAAGGCCGGGGGGCAGCAGCGGTGCCAGGCGGCCGCCTTTGGGCCCGCCCAGCCCCCCAGGGGTCTGGGGAGGGGTAGACTCCCTCCAGGGCAGCAGGGACGCCCCCTAGAGGGACTGGGCAGAGGAGGGGGTCCTGCGGCTGTTGTCCCTCCCCTGTCCCCGCTGCCTCGGAACTCGCCTCCTTCTTCTGGATGAAGCCCAGACGTTGTCACTCTCGTTGGGAAAATAAAGACTCCCCAACCAAAATGTTCGGAGCCACTTGAGAAGTAAAAATAGAATCCTTGAACATGTCTTCACGGCACTTCAAGGACGCGGGGAAAGTTCATTCCGGAGGAGGGATGCGTCCCCCGCTGCGTTACCGTTAACCCCAATTAGCTCTTAACCCCCAGCTCCCCTCGAGGACGGCCCTGCAGTCTGGGCAGCAGTTCCCTTTACCACTCAGAGTGGCCCCCAGGGGGTCCAGGCCACACAGCTGGGCCATCGCACGCCGCCCTCTGCGCCCAGCTAGCCCCGACCCCAAGCCTGTCTCGCCAGGTATCCGGAGTCAGCAGTCAGACCCTGAAGGTCAGCACTCACCACGCGACCTCCCAAGACTTGTTGCTTCCTCGCCCGCCCAGTTAACAGAGAAACCCAGTCCCCCGGCCTAGAGCGGGGAGGCGCTAAGCGGCCCGCTGGCCTTTTTGCTGAAACTCCAGGGATGGGGACTGGCTGGCAGGGGGGGTGAAGGGAAAGCCAAACCTGAATTCTTGGCTCCTGGAGGCTCCATCTCACCACTCGGGAGCCACAAACAAACCCCAAAACCCTTTACTTTAGCAGGGAAATAAAACAGCATCGACCCAGTCTGCCTCAGTTTTATTTATCTTTAATATATTCTTATTGATTTCAGAGAGGAAGGGAGAGGAAAAGAGACAGAAACATCAATGAGAGAATCACTGGCCGGCTGCCTCCTGCACACCCCCACTGGGGACCGAGCCCACCACCTGGGCATGTGCCCCTGACCGGAATTGAACCCGGGACCCTGCAGTCTGCAGGTCAACGCTCAAGCCACTGAGCCAAACCGGCCAGGGCCAGCCTCGGTGTTAGAGGCATCATGGGAGCAGTGCTTTGGGCCTCACGGCCACTACTGGCCTCATGACCATTAGCTTTGGCCCCCAAGGATATCACCCTTGGCTCACGTCTAGGTCAGGGGACAGGCTGGGAGGACTCCCCCCGCTGACTGTCCTGTCTTCTAGAATATTCCCTCGCGGTTACTTGTTGCAGGAGGTAATTGGTTACCGTTCTTAGGACATTTGTCCTTTGTGGTGGCTGTCACTGTAGCGCCTCCTCTGTCTCCTTTTCTCCAAGAACCGCGCGCTCTCTACCGCCTCCCCTGAGGGGAGAGGGATGGGTACGAGGGGACCTGCCGCTCCGGGCGGCACCATGATCCCGCACAGCGCGGACGCGGCGGGCGGTCAGCAGGAGCCGCCGGGGAGACGGGCCGAGGGTGTGCAGCCTTTCGCTGGGGTTCAGTTGGGATTAGCTCCTAATTTAAGTTTCCGCTTTGTTCCTCTGACCAGGGAACATGCAGAGGAAGTTGGGGATGGGGGGAGAGGCATCGATCTGCTTTGTTTTTGTGCTGATGTTGACACAAGCACCCCCCTTCCCCCCGTTGTGCAGTTAACACATGGTGTGTGCCTGCCCTGGGCTCTGGGTGTGCAGGACTGAGTGGCTGGAGCCTTCCCCCGAAGCCCGGTGGGCTGCAGGGTTAACACTCAAGAAGTCGGAGGGAGGCGGGGCGGGGGGGGGGGGGGGATGAAGGGGACACAGCTCCGTCTCGGCAGGTCTGAGCTGAGAGCCCTGACTTACAGATCGGCTCTTAAGGAGCTCCTCGTGGGCTCTCCCATTCCCTAGCTGGGTGCCCAGTGGCCTCCCCTGTGTCTTCCACATGACGTCCCCTCTCCCGTCCCTCCGAAGGGAGCTCCTCGTGGACAGTCTCCCTGCAGCGGCCTCTTCCTAGGCGGCGTGCTGGCGGTGCTGCACTCAGACTTGCTCGGCGAAGCGGTAGTGAATCTGCCCCTTCCGGGCCCCCAGCCCTCTCCCTCCCTCCCTCCCTCCCTGGCCTGATGAATCACTGCCCCCCCCACCCCCTCCAACAGAAGCAGGTCTTAGGCCCCAGCGGAAAGCTCTCTCCAGAAGCCTCCCGCCCCGTGGACCGGGCCAGGCCCCCGGACCCCGCTAATTAGAGCTTCTCAAGCCGCCACTTGCGTCCTTCCTGTCATTGGTGCGCACAGTGATAATGGACTTGGATAAGAGGTCACAGCTTGTCCCACATCCTGCCCTCCGGGGGCGGCGGGGGCCGGGCTCAGCCCCCTGCTGCGGGGCCCCGCCTGCCTGGCACGGGGCAGACCCCGCAGCTGCGAAATGTTCGCCCATCCGGTCACAGGCCCCCGCGGCTCCCCGGGGCGGCCCGCTCCCCACGCTCGCCCTGGGAGCCGGCTGGCTGCGCCTGGCGCGTGTCATCAGCATTAACGTGGGGAAATGGCACCGTGTAAATGTTAATAAGGTCTGATGCGCCGCCGCTTCCGAGTGGCAGATTGGAAATGGTGCCATCAGCGCTACGCCAACCAGCGGCGGCGCTTAATTCCTCTCTCCCCGAGCGTCTGGTCTGGCGTGGAAACCCCACGCTCCCGCCTCCGGCCCAGGCTCCGCGCTGCCGCCTTACCCATCTTTTCAGAGAGGATTCCAATTTCCCGTTTAAGACAGGCTTTGGGTTTCTTCTTCTTTTTTTTTCCAAGTAAGCATGCACCCTCCCCTGTTCTCCAAAGAGAAAGGGGACCGAGGAGCCCTCAGTGCCCCCTCGGGCCAGGCTCCACTCCCAGACTTTCCACGCCCACTCCACCCCCCTCTCCCCAGGCCCAGCCCTGCTCCTCTGGGGCTGGGTCCTTCTCTGAGGAGTTGCCCCGGAAGCCACTGGCTCTGTTCTCCCTGCTTTCCCTCCTCTGTCAGGTGAAAACATGGCTGGTGGCCCGGCCGGTGTGGCTCAGTGGCTGAGCATCAACCTATGAACCAGGAGTCACAGTTCGATTCCCAGTGACGGGCTCGATCCCCAGTAGGGGGTGTGCGGGAGGCAGCCGATTTGTGACGCTCTCTCATTATTAATGTTTCTCTCTCTTTCCCCCTCTCCCTTCCTCTCTTTGAAATCAATTTTTTTTTAATTTTTTTAAAACCCACACAAAACATCACTGGTTAACGACATCCTGATTGACCCTTTCCTCTGAAGCCTTCAGAAGGTGCCCCCTCCCCTCCATGTCTTGTCTGGACCCTGTGCCCTTCCTCCCGTGTCCTTTCCTCCCAGGAGGCCTTGCGTGCCCGAGGCATGGCTGGTGCTGCTTCCCACCCTCGTCTTCCTGCCGTCCGGTACTTGATCCACGCCCATGCCCACTCAGTGCCAGGCTGTGCCCCCCTCGTCAGTGTTGGCTGTGAACGGGTCATGGTCCCAGGGTGTCGCCTGGGACTCGCCTGGAAACCCCTTTCCAGAAGCCTCAGGAGAGAGAGTGGAGGACGGGCAGAGAAGCGTGGCTCTGGCTCCTGTGCCATGATACGGGAAAGTCACACGGATGCCGTCTGACCCCGGGAGCCTCTGCCAGTCCAGGTGCGCTCAGGACTGGCCCGGCCTGGGCAGAGGCCGCGTGAATGGTGTATGCTCCCCACACACATACACACACGCTCGCGCACACACACAGTCACACGCGTGCCCAGTGCGGCCGGCCTCGGTGCCCCCTCACTCCTGTTTTGTCGCCCAGGCTGTCTTCACTCTCCTCCTGGGACCCTTCACCTTCTTTGACGTCCAGAAGACCAAGTACCTACAGATCCTGACCTCCCTGATGCGCTGGGTTGGTGAGTCCGCCTCTCTTTCTCCTGACCGGGGCCCTCCCCCCAAGCAGCAGGGATCCTCGGGGTGAGGCCCCGGCCCCCCAGGGAGGCAGCCCCTGAAGCGCAGCGCGGCCGGGGCAGTGGCCTTGAGAGGCGCTGGGCTGCAGACGGGTGGATGCTTGGGGGTGACCTTGTCTGGATGTCGCCGTCTCTGCAAGTCATTTGCCTCTTTTCTCCCTTTGATCCGGGAGATAGCCAGCCAGCCTGTCCTCCAGCGGCTCTGGGTGCCGGCACCGGCCTCTGGGCTCAGATAGTAACCCTGTCACAGAGAGAACATCGCCCCGGCTAGGCTAGCATGCAGCCCAGCGAGGGGTCAGCCGAGGGGCCCGTTCTTAGCGGGCACTGCAGCCCCGGGGCACTTCTGTGGAGCTGGTGGGAGCAGCAGCGTGGCATCCGGGGATCGGGGACACCAAGCACCCTGGCCAGGCCTCCCGCTGTGGGAGGGGCTGCCTGTCCCCTGGGTGTCTGCAGGCCGATGGAGGGGGGGGCTGGGTGTCTGCAGGCCGATGGAGGGGGGGCTGGGTGTCTGCAGGTTGATGGAAGGGGGGGCTGGTTGTCTGCGGGCCGATGGAAGGGGGCCTGGGTATCTGCAGGCCGATGGAAGGGGGCCTGGGTGTCTGCAGGCCGATGGAAGGGGGGCTGGGTGTCTGCGGGCCGATGGAGGGGGGGCTGGGTGTCTGCAGGCCGATGGAAGGGGGCCTGGGTGTCTGCAGGCCAATGGAGGGGGGGTTGGGTGTCTGCAGGCCGATGGAAGGGGGGCTGGGTATCTGCAGGCCGATGGAGGGGGGGGCTGGGTGTCTGCGGGCCGATGGAGGGGGCGGCTGGGTGTCTGCAGGCCGATGGAGGGGGGGGCTGGGTGTCTGCGGGCCGATGGAGGGGGCGGCTGGGTGTCTGCAGGCCGATGGAGGGGGGGCTGGGTGTCTGCGGGCCGATGGAGGGGGGGGCTGGGTGTCTGCAGGCCGATGGAAGGGGGTGCTGGGTGTCTGCGGGCCGATGGAAGGGGGGGCTGTGGAAGGCGTCTCCTGGCCCAGGTGCACCCCAGTGAGGTTTCTAGAACTCCTCGAAGGCGGTGGCACCACGCTGTCGGTGATAACGAACTTGCTTTTCATGTTGCCTTTGAAGAGCAGCTGCGCACCGTGGCCCCGTAACCCTCCGGCCCACTCCCCCTTCCCTCTCCGTCTCGGCGCCCAGGCGTCTGACCACAAGTGAGGCAGTCAGGGTGGCAATAAGCTGGCTCGGGCTCTAGAAAAACAAAAGGAAAATGAGCAACAAAGGAACCGGAAAATCATAGATGTGCTGAGCCGGAAGCATGCTTGTGCTTAATTAGGAATTTGCTCTGCCATCTGTTGAAACCCCAGGCGGGAGGACTGCAGGAGCCGCCCCGAGCAGGCCCAGGAGCCCAGGAGCCCAGGGCCAGCCCACAGTCTCTGCACCCTCCGCCCTCCCTCCCCCGTCAGCCGGAAGCCCCTCGCGCTGCCTAATGGGATGGGGAGGGTTGGATGGCCTTTTCGAGTAGCCATTTGTCAGGGAACATGTCAGGACACGTAGGACGGATACAGCCTCGATGCATTTCTTTTGCTCCCCAAGCAAGTCCTGGGGAGACCAGGCCGGTCAGTGCGGCAGACCCAGGCTGCAGGTGCCTCTGAACTCACACATGCAAGGAGGGGCTCAGCAGCCATGCGGCGACTCACCCCCGGCGGCCGCTTCGGGTCAGCCACAGGCTCCCGAGCTCACAGCATGGGCCCCGGCCACTCCCTCTGCACCTCCTCCCTGTGTGCGCTCCCTGGACAGGCCCGCGCTGGTCCCGGGGTAACCCCTTGCCCTGGAGGAGGCTTGAGCCCCAGAGAAAGGGATGCTGGAGGCTTCCTCTGTAGTCCTCCTCTCTCCCAGTCAGCGGAGCAGGCTCACCCAGAGACGCGGCCCCAAGTGCTGACCTTTGCGTCCCCAGGCCCAGCAGCTGTGGCTTTAGAGCCCACGGCCCAAGCCGTTCAAATGATGAGTGTAGACCGAACGTGTCAAACTCGGCCCGCGGGCAGCATGCCTCGTCTGCTTGGCCGGTGTGAGCCTTCGAGGGTGACATGCGTGGTGTAGACCTTTCCCGCCTGGGACACTCTTCCCCTCCCCCATTACCACCTTCCCCCAGAGACGCCAGCAGACGCCTCCCAGCGCCCGGGGACACGGGCAGCTGGCTCTGCTCAGGGCGCCCCGTTTGGCGTTATGAAAGCTCTGGTTCTTTCTAATAAGCCCTGCTCTGCCGCGCGGCTGCCCTCCTCCGTCTGGGTCTGAGCCGCTGGGACCCACAGGGCTGCCTTCCCTCTGGTTGTGTATTCAGAGCCACACCACGCACGCTGCCGCCTCCTCCGGCTCCTCCCCTCCAAGTGGGTCAGGCGTCCTCCCCCTGAGCCGTGAGCGTCCGCAGATCCACCGGAGCTGCCTCGGGAAGCTCCTCGGCCCTGCCCTCCCCACCCGCCCTGGCAGGCGCCCCATGTTTGTCCTCCAGCCTGTGGGGGGGCGAGGGGGGGACTTGGTGGCCCAAGTGGCAGAAGGTCCCCGGGAGGAGACCTCGCCTAGGAGGGAGCATAAGGGCTGTGGTTTCACCTGTCCCCAGAATGATCTGTGGCCGTGTGGCCGACCCCCCTGCAGATCCCGGAGCACCTCCTGGTGGGACGGCTCTGAGCTGCCACCACCAGCCGCCGGGTCTCTGCCGGGGCCATCTGTTCCCATCCTGTTGGCTCCGCACGCCAGCGCGGTGCACGCGTTCCTTCACAGCCTCTCCCTGCACACGTGCTCCTCAGAGGGCGGGAAGGACCCCCTTCCAATGTGAGAATGCCCACCGGCCTCCCCCTGGGCCCGCCTCCCCCCACCCCCACCCCCACCCCAGGCCCACCGTCCAGGGCTCTCCTGCGTCTCTGGTCACACAGCCCGGGGAGGGGATCCAGGAAAGCCTTTGTGTGTGTACTTCACCTTGGCCTTCATTGTATTCTTGGTTTTCGGAAAGTTCGCTCTGCAAACGCAGAGTCAGTCTACAGGAGAGGAGCCGGGGTTTCTGCCTTAAGGCTCTCGGGGTCGAGTAGACACGTAACTAAAGTTTGGTGAAGAGTCAGCCACGTGCCACAAGTGGTCCCTTTCCTTGGTGGCAGGGCCGGCCTCGGAGCTCTGCCTGGCATCCCCCTTCCCCCTCCCCGCCTCCAGCAGCCTGGTTGTCGGCAGCTCTTCTCTGCGAGTGGCTGAGACGTGCATGATAGGAGGAGGACTCCTGCTCCGCCCGGGAAGTTGGCGGGCCAGCTGTCAGGACAGCAGCGAGGGAAGGGAAGATAAGGCCCCAGAGCTGATGGGGTGAGGCATCTGACCAACAGTGGGTGCAGGGGTGCCTCTGCCGCGCTGGGCCTCACACGGGCCCGGGCAGCTGCTGCCTCGGACAGAGTCCGGCAGCCACACACGTCTGCAGAGCCAGCGTGGCCCACAGCAGGCCCGGGGCCTGGGAACTTCCATTCAGCTCGAGAACCCAAGGGCCGCTCTCATAGCACCGCTTTCCTCACCCCCCTCTCCCTGCGTTCTCTGATCCAGCGGCTGCCTAAGAGCCGTCTTAGCTCGGGACCCCATAACACCCACCACAGCTGGCGGCTTCAACAACAGAAGTTCCTCAGTTCTGGAAGCTGGGAGCCTAAGATCAAGGGGCTGGCAGGGTTGGTGTCTGGGGAGGCCCCTCTTTCTGGCTTGTCGACAACCACCTTCTCGCTGTGGCCTCTGTGCAGGGGGAGAGCAGCTGGCATCTCTTCCTTCTCTCATAGCCCTGGTGCTGTCAGATTAGGGCCCCCCTATGGCCTCACTCCACCTTCCTTACCCCATCCGCGGGTAGTCACCGGGGGTCAGGGCTTCGACACAGGATCGTGGGGAGACCGTTCATAACAAGAGGCGCCGCTGACAGCCCTCAGGAGAGGTGACAGTGCGGGGTTTAGCTTCCAATCTCCAGAGGCCCCTCGGCCCGCCTCCCAGCGATGACAGACGAGCAGGCTGTGACAGCTGGGGATGAAAGATGGAGACCCTCCCTCCCCTCCCCAGCGCCGCGGGCCACGGTGTGGAGAGTTGAAGGATGAAGAGCCTGAACTCTTGATTCCCTACTTAAGACCTGATTGCCTCTGGGACGCCAGCGCCTGCCCTTTATCAGCGGCCTGCTCCCCGGCACGCTCGGAGGGGAGAGGAGGCGCCGAGTCCTTCGGGATAAATCACGTAGCCGCGAAGAACCTCCGGCCTGCAGCTTAATCATTGCAGCATCCTCCTCTGCTTCCGGGTGAAGAGGGGGAGGGGGAGGAGGAGGGAGCGGAGTCCTCCAGAAGCCACAGGGCGGACCCAGCATGGGATATGAGAGGGTCAGGTTCAGCAGAAACCCAGGTGGTCCCTTTTGGTGAGTTAGTGATACAGTGAGAGCAGCCCTCTCTGAAGATCTTCAGAATCCGCTTCCTAAACCGGTTTGTCTGCCAAAAGCAGAGCCCAGCCAGGCTGCCCACAGCCCCCAGCCAGTTCCGCCTGCGCTTACAGCCTCTTGGAGATTCAGGCCGAGAAGCACGGGCAGCATCCCACCGGGGAGCATGACTGGGAGACACATCCGACAGCCGCTCCCACTTCTCACAGCCGCTCCCGGCCCAGGCCACGGCCGGCAGGAACCGGGAGGCTCTGCACTGCCTCTTTCTGAATCCGGGCCGACCTTGGCCCGGGCCGGGAGGAGCACCAGGTCCCGAGGGGGCACCCCGAGACGGGAAAGGCACAGCAGCATCTGAATCTCCCCTTACAGCCGCTGTCCCCTTTGCTCTGACCCCAGTGCCCTGCCTATGGCAACAGCGTCAGCTGCATCCTCTCGGTAGCTAATCACCAGGCAGCCCGGCCCCCAGTCTGCCCGCTGCAGCCGCCCGCCTGTCCAGCTCAGCTTTACAACCCTTCCTGGCCGAGGACAGGCAACTCCACCTCCGCCCTCTCCCCACATCCTGGCCCTGCACGCACCCCGGGAGTAACGAGGCAGACTGCCGGGGTCCTGGGCGTCCTGCGGAGCGGGGAGGCCCCAAGGGGTGTCCTGTCTCAGGACCCCTAGCCCCCTGGAGGGTTAAGCCAGAGGCAGCTCCTGGGCTGCGACCAGGAGAGAGGAAGTGGCTGTCGTTCCCCCTGACTGACCAGAGCCGGCGGGTTTGTGGTGTCCCTGGGGCGGCAGGCCCTCAGTGGCAGGAGTGAGCGGCAGGGACAGAGGTGGGCTGAGAGTCCGAAACAAATCATTTTATTTATTGGCGATTTTCACAGGCCTGTCCCCTCGCCCCCTCCTTCCCTCCTGTCCTCGGCGGTGTCGGGCAGCTCTGATTTAAAGCCATAGGTGATGTCCCTGTCGTGTCATTGGGGGAAGGCAGAGCGGAGGGTCACTTTGGCTTCCTGTGAGTCCCAGGCCAAGGGAGCCTGGTGTGCTGTGGCCTGAAGGGGGCAGTGCAGAGACCCCCAGCCTCCACCCCGGGGAGCCCTGAGCCCCTGAGGGGCCAGCTGGCAGCTCAGTGCTCCCCTATGCCTGTCACTCACCAAGAAATGGCAGGTATCGCCCTGAGCTTTGCCAGCTGGGGTGGGGGTGAACCGGACATGGGGAGAGGACTCCAGTGCATTCACAAGATCCATAGCAACTGCTGACCTGCTCCAGGATGCAGCCGTCAGGGTCATACGAATGGGACAATTCCTGCTCCCGGGGCTCCAGTCCCTCAGGGGCGCCCCCAGACCAGACACTGCCGGGCGGGCTGTCTCCCCTGCCGCTGACACCCTCTCGGTTTTGCAGCTTTCACCATCATGATCGTGCTGGCCCTGGTCCGCATCGGGCGCGGGCACGGGGAGGGGCGCCCGCCGCTGGCCGACCTCTCGGGCGTCCGGAACCTGTTCGGGGTGTGCGTGTACTCCTTCATGTGCCAGCACTCGCTGCCGTCCCTCCTCACGCCCGTCTCCTCCAAGCGCCACCTCACGCGCCTCGTGCTCCTGGACTACGTGCTCATCCTGGCCTTCTACAGCCTGCTCTCCTTCACCGCCATCTTCTGCTTCCGCGGCGACAGCCTGCTGGACATGTACACCCTCAACTTCGCGCGCTGCGACGTGGTGAGCGTGGCCGCCGTGCGCTTCTTCCTGGGCCTCTTCCCCGTCTTCACCATCAGCACCAACTTCCCCATCATCGCCGTGACGCTGCGCAACAACTGGAAGACGCTCTTCCACCGCGAGGGCGGCACCTACCCCTGGGTGGTGGACCGCGTGGCCTTCCCCACCCTCACCCTGGTGCCCCCGGTGCTGGTGGCCTTCTGCACCCACGACCTGGAGTCCCTGGTGGGCATCACGGGTGCCTACGCGGGCACGGGCATCCAGTACGTGATCCCCGCCTGCCTGGTGTACCTCTGCCGCAAGGACGCCCAGCTGGCCCTGGGCCCGCGCGCCGCCAACCGGCACCGGTCCCCGTTCCACCACGCCTTCTGGGTGGGCTTCGTGCTGCTCTGGGCCTTCTCCTGCTTCCTCTTCGTCACCGCCAACATCGTCCTCAGCGAGACCAAGGCCTGAGGGCAGGCGTCTGCCGACGGGAGGGTCGGGGGCCTCGTCCCCCAGCCTGCAGAGGCCGCGTCTGGGTGCCTCCCGGGCCTCCACGGGGCACAGGCGGCCAGGCTCCGGGCGGGGACCCTGCACAGTAGCTGGGATCTTGTCCCCACCCAGCCTGCACCTCGCCGCACAAGGCTCTCCCAGACTCCAGGGCCGGCTCCGGAATCAGCCCCCTGCTTACGCACACGCCCCATGGCCCCACCGCGGGCCGGGCTCCGCTCCCTGCTCTGGAGACACAGCGCTGGCACTGCCACTCTTTGTACCGGGCACCTGTCCCCTGCTCCCCCAGCCCTCCGGCACCCTGGCCTGGGAAACCCACTTCATAGACGCTGCCTCTTCAGGAGGAACCCCGGCCCCAGTCCCCGCCCTGCAGGGCCTGCCAGGGACTCCCCTCGTGATGGCAAGAACAGGAGGTGCTGATGGGCACCAGGGCTGTGAGGACCCTGCTGTGGGCGCCAGCTGCTTGGGGCTCCAGAGCTGTGGCCCCAGGGAGGGTCCTGCTGGGGCTTGGGGCCTCCTGCAGTGCGGGGACAGTGTATAGGGCCAGTAACGGGAGCTAGCCCTCACCCGCCAGGCTGTGGGTGCTCGGTGCTCACACACTGCATGTCCCTGGGCGCCAGGGGCTGAGGTGGAACACAGGCGGCCGTTCCCGTGGAGAGGGCCGGGTTCTCACCGCCTCACCAGCTCTCCCGTAACCCCGCCTCGCCACCATCACGCATGCGCCTCCGGGCAGCCTTCCTGGGCGCAGGTGGCGGATGAACTCTGCATTTCGATGTGCCTTCTGCTTCAGGCCTGGGTTCCTTTCTGACCCTCTGCTGCCCCAGCCCCGGGCCTGCCCCCCTCCCCTGTCCGGGGTCCCGGAGCCCCTGCCCTTTCTCCCGATTTCAGTGCCTTGCTCAGCCCTCATGCGGGAACTGCTGCCTCCCACAATGCACCAGCTTTGTATCTCGGACAGAGTGGCGACCCTGGTGTCTGGGGCCCGGGTGGTCTCGGGGCGGAAGGACACGTGGGAGTCCACGGGCAGCACTACCCCCACCTTCGGCCCCAGCCTGCGAGAACCCTGTGACCCACTTTCTCACTGTGTCCACGTCTTCCGTTCTCCTCTCCCTGTGTGTCCCCGGTTCCCTCACCTCCATCTGCCGCTGTGGCTCCTCTCCAGGAAGCCCGGCCTGAGGGGCAGAGCAGGGAGAGCCTGGAGGTCGGCCAGCCCGGAGGTGCGGGCCTCCCTGGCGCTGCCCCGCTGCTGACAACTCGATTAAAACACCCGTACTTACCTTCTCCTGTGTGTTTCCTTTTGCTTAAGGACAGAGCAGGTTAAGTCGCCCTGCTTGCCGGCGCCTCGCAGGTTCTGGATGGGAGTGTGTTCGCATCAGAAGGCCCGGTGATTTATGTGGCCTCCACGCCAGGCAGCCCCGGCCCGGAGGGAATTGGCCCGAGGTGACCACGTCACTGTAGCAAGCCGGTGCGCCCCACTGCCACCGTCTGGGTTGCTGGGCTCCGTCCTGTCTGTCCCGCGGGAGGTCAGATGGGGTCACCTCTCTGCTGAGAGCCCCAGGGCCGGGTGGAGGGAGAGGACCATCCCAGGTGATGCTCGCTCACTGTGTGCATCAAGTCCGTTTGTTGTCACATCGCTGGGTGAGGTGGGTCATGGTTTCCACTTGATCGAAGGGCCCCAGGGGGTCGGTGGTGGGAGGGCAGAGGAGGGTGCCACCCAGCCTGGCCCAGGGGCAAGCTTCCCTGCGGAGGAGAATGAAGACTCCGCAGCCTTCACGCCCGCTGGCCCCGAGGTCAGGCCAGGCCAAGGTGGGAGCTGGCATTCTCTGTCTCGTCCCCTGCCGCAGCCCTGGAGCTCCGTGCCAGCAGCTCCTGCTGCTCCCTCACCTGCAGCCAGAGAGGCCGCTCCGGGCGTGTGGATGGGGCAGGTGGCAGGCGGGAGGCACTGCTGAGCGGTGGGAGGTGGGCAGTGGGCACCTCGCCAAGCCCTTACTCACACAGCTGTTCTCGCCACATGGGGGCTGGGAGCAGCCCCAGCAACAGGCTTAGGCTAAACCCGTGGAGATGAGGACAGGGGCTGCCCCTCGGAGGAAACCAGCCGGAGGGCAAGAACCAAGCAGTGTCAGACTCTAGGGCTGGGAGACGGAGACGTGGGCAGGAAGGCGGACACCAGGCCTGCCTTGGGCTTGGCTCCTGAGCTGGGCTGATGCCTGGCTCAGGCCACTAAAAAGCTCTTCCAAGACCAAACTCAGGGCTGTGGGAGGCCACAGACCCCAGACTCACAGACATCCTCTTTGGGTCCCCAGGCACCTAGTTCCATCGCCTCCTAATTGGTCCCGTGTCTTCTGGTGGCACCTGCCTGCTACAGTTCAGAAACGGTCTTTGAATTCTCAGGATCCAGGGGGCTTTGGGAGGGGGCTGTCTCTGGACCCCCAATCCCAGGGGATCCCCTCTCCTTTCAAAGAGCAGGCTGGGAAGAGAACCAAGGTGGTGGTAGTAGGTAAACGCCTGTACTCCTGCCTTCCACAACCACATCAAAATTACAACTAAAATACAGAACAACCATCATTCAGAACGGCTGGAAAGCTGGCTGAAAGGAAGTTCCACAACTAGAAAAGGAGAAAGCACTTTGAGGCTGAGCAGAGGGGCGCAGGCTCAGAACCAGCCCGTCACGCACCTTCTTTCTAATTGGGAGGAAGATTGTCTACGCTGAGACCACCCATGAGGAGCCAGGGGTCCCAACCCCACCAGACCCCCCCCGCCCAGGCTCCCAGAGCTGGGAAGTAAAGTCCTCATAACTACAGGCTATAAAAGCCAGCAGGCATTGGGGGCTGAGAGATACGGAGGCTGCTAGAGGCAGCTGTTCTTTTTAAAGGGCTGGGCATGAGCTGAACTTACAAGGTCCCGCTTCCTCTGAGCCCCAGCACCAGGGCGAGAGGCTGGGGGCAGTTTTCTTCAGATGGAGATGTTCCCAGAGGTCATTGTTCCTGCGCTGGGACCTCCCAGGTAGCAGGGCTAACTGCCAGCCATCTCTGTTTGCTTTGCCCTGGTTATTCCCTGAGACCCCACCCCATCCAATTTATAGCCCCATCGAATTGGAAGCCTCACCCAACCTGTTTGCAGCAGCTTTTGCATATAAATGGCCTGTCCTTGCTCTGGCCTCAGACTGCTAAAATCTCTAAACAAGCTGCAGCTGGGCCAGCGTGCCCCAAGCCTATCAGTAAAAGGCCCAAGACCCGGCACCAGCACCAGCCTGCCTTGCTTCCCAGCTGGGCTTCGTCTGGGCACCTCCAAGCCCAATACAAATGCTCCTGCAGGGCGGCCCCAGGCAGCGGCTGACTGCACCTCCCTGGAGGCCGGAGAGCCAGTGCACCCCGGGGACAGCTTCAGACCATAGCAGGTTACAGCTCTGCACGTCCATGAGCAACACACTCAACAGGCAGACTCATGAGCACCAAAGCCCCCCTGAAGCAAGTCCTGCTCCATAGGGGTGTCTCCTACAGCAGCTCTCCCACTGTAGCTGCACCTGGTCCTCACAGCAGCCAGTTCCTCCCAGTGACACCAACAGCAATCAAGGCTCAACTACAAGACAGAGTACACAGCCCACCAGGGACTTTGTGAGAATGTCACAGACATGAAAAAGGACCAGTCAGAAACTAAGCAAACTCTAACTGAAATAAAGAATAACTTACAGGGATTCAACAGAGTAGAGGAGTCTGAGAATCAAATCAATGATGTGGAATATGAGGAAGCAAAAAACACCCAATTACAAGAACAAAAAAATAAAAATAAAAATAAAACATGAAGATAATGTAAGGCGCCTGTGAAGATAGTGTAAGGTGCCTCAAGCATACCAACATTTGCATGATGGTGCAAGAAGGAGATGAGAGAGAGCAAGATATGGAAAACCTATTTGAAGAAATAATCACCTGGTGAAAGAAACAGACTTACAAGTCCAGGAAGCACAGAGAGTCCCACATCAAACACATCATAATTAAAATGCCAAGGGCTAAAGACAGAGAGAATCTTAAAAGCAGCAAGAGAAAAGCAGTTACCTACAAGGGAATGCCCATTCGGACTGATTTCTCAACAGAACTTTGCAGGCCAGAAGGAAGTGGCAAGAAATATTCAAAGTGATGAATAGCGAGAACCTACAATCAAGATTACTCGTCCCAGCAAAGCTCTCATTCAGGATTGAAGGTCAGATAAAGAGCTTCACAGACAAGAAAAAAACTGAAGGAGTTCATCACCGCCAAACCAGTATTACACGAAACATTGAAGGGTATTCTTTAAGAAGAGGATGAGGAAGAAGAAATAAAAATACGAATAAAATGGCAACACTTACATAGCTATCAACAACCGAATCTAGAAATCGAATGAACAAAATAAACTGGTGAGTAAAACAGAATCAGAGGCATGGAAGCATGGGATAGACTGATGAATCTCAGAGGGAAGAGGGTAGGGGGGTGGGGAGAGATGAACCGAAGATCTTACCTATGGACACAGACAGTAGATGGTGAAGGCCTGGTGCAGGCTGGGAACGAGGCGGAGGGGAGGGAGGAGGAGGCAACTGTAATACTCTCAGCAATAAAGATTAAAAATAATAAGCTAAAAAACAAAAAGCCAGGCCTCCTGACCAAGGACATCGTGCCTGTTGATTTCTAAACTCTGCACCCTCTCCCCCACACACACACCTGGCTGCCAGGAAAAAGGTGGCATGGCCCTGAGCTGCTCAGGAAAAATGGAGGAGGGCCCAGCACTGGAGCTGCAGGAGGGAACAGGTGAGGGAGTGCAGACACCCCACTCCTGACTCTAGTGACCAAGGGCCTCTCCGGGGTCCCCTCAGCACTGGGGTGTCTGTCTGGGCGGGTGCAGCTTGCTCTTTGTGGCCCTTGTGTATGAGGATGACTGGACATCTCTGGCCTCCCTGGCATGGCCAGCCCCTCCTCCCTCCTGCCAGCCTTCGTCCTCTCCCCTTGACAGGGCAGGACCCTCGGGGCAAGAGGCTGGGAGCCAGCCCAGCCCAGCTCGGAAGCTGCAGAAAGCGTCCTTCCTGCCCCTACTTCCCATACGGCTCGCTTGTCCCCAGAATTCATTCCTAGAGAAGGACCGAGGCGGCCAAGGGCCTGGCCCCATAGCAGGACTGGCACCTCCTCGGAG